AAAGGCCCTCAGCACAGTGCCTCATTGAATGTTTCCTTCCTTCCTCCGGGGAGTTTCAGTTCTGCAGTCTGCTGCCTCTGAAGAACGGATGTGTCTAATGGGTGGCCTCGGTTTCTCTCTTTGGGGACCTTCTGTCTTTGAGGTGTCTCTCAGAAACAGACCTTGGTTTCCATCTTACCAGGGAGCTTTGAGGATTGAGGGAGATAACAGGGAAAGCACACTTGATGGGGAGAGGGCTGTGTCTATTCAAATAAAAAATAGCCAAACTAAAGAAAAAGTCTGAGATTTGTTGCCATACCTGACCCACATATGTTCAAACCAACTTTTAAAAATCTTTAGATTCTACAATTGCTTAAAACATTGCAAAGAGGCATAAACATGGGGGGAGTCATTACTCCTCCTCCTTTCTAGGTTAAATAGGAAATACTTATACTTTTGAGCACTTGTCCCATAGCTGTGCTAGAGCCTCCACAGGTAGGAGTTCCAAGGAGAGCCCCAGCCTTTTCCATCCAGGGCAAGAAGCTTGCACAGAGAACCGCCCCCCCACCCCCCAGTGAGGGCCTTTCAGAGATCAGGCTGCTTAGCAAGGCCATGTCAGCCCCCTGTCACTTCGAGCTGGGCGGTGAGCCCCATTCTGAGGGTTTTCCTGTATATCATGACCCACCCTCCCCTCCCCTGCTGCCTTCCCCTTCTGATTGCCACCAATATCAGCAAGCTCCAGTCACAACCAAAATCTGGCTGAGGTGCCAGGTCCCCATCAGACAGGATTAAAGGCTTTGGGTGTCAATGAAACTGTGAAACTTTCAAACGACAACCTATAGAAATAACCTGTACACCTGTGCATGAAGTGTGTGTGTGTGTGTATGTGTGTGTGTGCATGTGTGTGCACGTGTGTATGCTCCCATGCCTGTTTTCATAACATAAGCACCAAGTATGAACACATTGTGATACAGTTACATGTGCGTTATGAATTATGACAACATATTATGAGCACAGGCATGGAGCACACACACAGCACGCTGTGATAGAACCTTACAGCCTCTCCAGTCTAGCGTCCCATGAAGGGTGATTCCAGGAGTTTCGTCTCCAGCTACACTGACAAGTGGCCATCCAGCCTCTACCTTACAAGTGCCTACAGGGAACCAGGGACACTCAGCTCCATTCATTTTTGGACAACTTAGAGAGTTAGGAAAGTCGTCCTGATATGACACTGAAATCTCCCTCACTAACTCCATTCCTCCAGAAGGCATCAAATACTGGCACCAGCATCCCTTTTGACAGGCTCCTTTTTTCTAACTTTTTGACTCCACCAATCCCTTCCTAGGCACCCCATCACCCTTCAGCACCTCATGGACCAGAGACTTCCGGTTCCAACCTAGCTGGGTCTCAGTTGCCTGGACTTGGTCTGGGTGGGGCTCGAGAATATCTTCTTTCCTCCCATGTAAAGCCAGACCAGAGGAGAGTTGCACCCTGTCTTCTCCCTAGAGGTTGACTTAGTTCACTTGCTTTAGACCATCCGAGTGGCAATAACGTGTGAGTTTGTTGACATGGGTTGTGTTTGGTTGTTTGACAGAAGAAAGGAGGGTAGTGACCAGGGCTGGGGGCTTAGTAGAGGGACTGCTGGTCCCATTTGGAGCTGCTGGCTAAGAGCTAAGTGAACGGGCAGTGGGTACCACTGGGCTGGGAAGACATAGAGCCCTTGGCATCAGCAAACCCAGCAGGAGAGCAGGTGGGCAAATGGGCAGACAGGGGCCCTGCGCTCTCTACCAGGAAAGACTGTACTGCTACCCCAGGCCTTCAGCTGGGAGTGAGGGGAAGGAGTCGGCAGGAGTTAGCCAGTAACCATACTTGCCCTTAGGGGCTGGAAAAGAAGCACAGGGGCAGCAGGCCAGTGGTCATTCATTGATTCCTTCATTCTTTCATTCAACAAATACTTACTGAATACTTACTATGCACCAGATACTGTCATATACCATTAATCCTTGTGTAAAAGGAATTTACAGTGCAAGGATTAAGGAATGGGGGGAAATAGTGGAGATCAGGCAATAGCAGGAAGCAGACATGGGCTTTCCTTTCTTAGTGTGTGCAACTGTCTGTCATCTGTGCCACCCCTTCTGTGTGTGTGTGTGTGTGTGTGTGTGTGTGTGTGTGATTGGCTTTTCCCACAATGTCCTGGCCACAGAGCAATGCGCACATGCCTCCCAAATTGTAGGCTCCATCACAATGACCGACAGCCTTCCTACCAAAGGAACCTGTTCTAAACCTTTTCTCCCTCTTAGGCACCAAGGGAGGGTAAATACCCTCAATCAGGGTGTAGACACATGCACCAAGCGACCGCTTTCTGGGTGGGGCATACACAAGACAGGTTTGAGTTTTGGAAAGATGCATATTGGTCAAGCCCGTTAAAAATCAGCCAAACAGCCTGTAAAGACAACTGTGGCTTGACTTGGAATGAAGTTATCCTTCAGCCGGGGTTATATACTTGCACATCAATTTAAGAAAACCTGTACCCAAAAATCCCAGTTTTGAAAGGGAGAGAGGAATGTGTCTGACCATTTTTGGAAGCTGTCTACAGCCCTTGTTTATTGACACAGGTGTATCAAAGAGGTGGCAAAGTCATTGAAGGAGCATCTGATTCAGGCCTTTGCCTTCTGATGGTAACGCCCGGAAATCATGTCAAGCCGGCGGGCCTTTATCTGGTTTGGGCAGACCTCCAGAGATGAGTAATGGGTTAAAAATGTGGCTGTGCTGCTGTGGAGCTGAGAGCTGTGCACAGACACAAACTTACCTTCTCTTTTAAAATAAGAAGAGATTCTGGGGCTTTGTGGCAAAGGGTAAAGTTTCCTGAAAAATCAAACAAATAAATTATTAAAGTAAAACATAAATTAGAGGCATGCATTTTGGATTTTTCTTACATTTTATGGAAATCGTGAAATGCATCCCTTCGTTCAACTTCAAAATTAAACCAACTCGGCTTCTCTGCATGAAAGGGAAGGAGTTCCTATGACCTGATATTTGCAATTTCCACTAAAGTACAGCTTTCTGTGTTTATTTGGAAATACTCACGTTCAGTCAGTGTATGGGATACCCTTGTTGTATAGCTTTATTATGATTTGATTTCACATAGGACTACTCACCTTTTAGTGACCAGATTTGTGACCCAATGAAAATTTCTCTATCTTACAAGGAGCTTGGACTCTTATTTATTCTGCAGCCATTATTTGTGTGTGAGATGAACCATGACATTTAAACTATGCTTGATAGCTTAACAGATTATAAGAACAAAACCAGATGGCCCAAACAAAAATAATGCTTTGATTGATTTCAAATTCAATGTCAAAAATTAAAAACAGCTCTCAAAAACCCTTGGCTTTTTTTCCCCAGAAAATGACTTTGAATATATATATAGTTTTTCTCTGAAAAAAGTCGAAGTATATAAACCAAAAATTTAATAACAGTTATTTTTGGGTTGAGAATTTGTCTTCTTTTTCCTTTTCTTTGTTTCCCAATTTTTCTAAGTTCCTTTTAGAATCAGAAAAACATTTTTTAATGACTGCTTTTTAGTTTAGTTTTATTGAAGTCTTTTCTAGGTTTGAGTCAAGGTGTTTTCCTCTGTTGGGCAAATGGAGATTGTTAGGCATTAGCAGCCCATAATTCTTCTTCCACACAACATGAATAACATGCAGTTACTTTAACACTGCGCCTCGTGAAGTTGGAAAACTGAACCGGACCCACATTTTCTAGAAGTAATGTTATAAGTCCACAAAAGCAGTTATTTAATTTTCTAATTCACTTTAATGTACCTTCGACATCCTTAGTAGAATCACAATCCTCACTTTCTTTGAGAGCAGTGAACCAACTAATTCTTTAAAACTGGGTTTTAGAAAGAACGTCAATTTAAAAAGGCTTCCAAACCTTGAGATAGTTGGCAGGGCAAAGTCAGAATGTGACTGTTTGAATCTCTAAACTCTTAGGATTCTCTTTTTCTGTTCTTATTTTGTAAGAGAATCTTTACTCCAACTCAGATTCATTTTTCTTCAAATCAGCTGCAAGAGAGAGAGAGAGAGAGAGCAAACTTTGCTGCAAATCAAAGCTCTGACAGTTATATTTCCCTGAGATAATTGCATACCGCTTTGGAGTTTCCTTTTCCCCTGTTTCCTTTTGTTTTGACAACAAAGTTCTGGGAAAACAATATACAATTGATAACTCTGCTGTCGTGAGTATACTGCATTTTAAAAATAAATAACTGTCCACCCAAAAAGCTTCCAGGAGCCTATGGAGTGAGTTCTTTTTCGAAACTGTTCCAAAACCAGATGTGGAAATGTTTAGCTAATTCTCCTCCCCACTCCCCACGCAAAGTGTTCATATGTGTCTCTAACAACATCAGGGATGGGGAGGCAAAAGTCCAGTGTGCTTTCAGGGAGATTTGTGTCACGCTTCTCAATTCCGTCAGCAACATCACAGAACTAACTGGGACTGTAGCTTTTGTGTCTTTTAAATTTAAGAGTCTTTTCTGCCTGAGATTAAACATGCCCTGTGTTTAGGCCAATATTCAATCTCTTTCTTGTAAGACATTGAGAAACAGAGTTCGCATTTCCAGAACAAAACATTTCATGATTTAAAAAAAAAGTTAAGAATGTATTAAGAATTAGGCTTATTAAGGAGTTCTTGAAAAATAAAAAGGGAAAGAGGAAAACCGCTCAAGGAATTAATGGAAAATGTATATGCATAAACCACCGTTCAGAAAAACAGAAAGCTGCTGTGTTCTGTAGCTGCAAGGGAAGGAAACATTTTGCATCCAGGTGTCATTAGCAGCTCTGCTTTTGCCCGCCTCTCTGTAGGTCAGTTCAGGACGATATGTACCCATAGCTGAGCCCTGCTACGCTCTACAAATGCATCTAAGCTGGTTGCTTCTGGAATACGGAAGGGACAATTTGCAGTCAAGTCAAAATGAGGCTATGGTAATGCAAACCCTGAGACCTGCTCTCTAAGAGTCCACCATGTTCTGGAGAAACTGGACTGTAGTCCTAAGGTGAGCACTCCCTTCTCGGCACTGATTTCTTCCCAGTGGTCAAGTCCCCTTAGTGCTGAGGATTCCGGGAGACTTTACATAGGGTTCTGTCCACAGCTCCCAGGATGCTGTGCCCAGCCCCCTCTCTGGGTAGAATACCTTCAGTCTATCAGCCCTGTATAACCTGCTCTTCTTCTGACAACCCTTCCCAGCTCCAGGCCTTCAGCCTTCTTGTTCCTCTGCTCCCAGAACTGAGAGCCCACTCTCTCCCGCCCTTCCCAGATCCCATTCTGCCAGCACATCTCTGCTAGAAGTTGGAAAAGTGAGCTGATCTGATGGATTCACGCTGTGCTGTGAATGACTTATAACCACCCTGCAGTGCACACATACACACATCCTCCACCCTTCCCTGGGAATTGCAGGCAGCAGGGAAGGGAGGCTGCCCAGTTGCGATGAGCTGTGCTCAGCAAAAGGGAGGAACTCCCAACGTGTGGCATTGAACCAGGGTCAGGGAGCTCATCAGCAAGGACATTCTGCTCTCCTCCAACTCTCCCAACTCTCACCTAAGGGATGAAGTCTTAATTGTGGGTCCTCATGGCTTGAGTTTTAAGTGTTCTCTAAGCTCATTAGTATGTTGTCACAGACATAGGCATCTTCATTTATTGCTCCATCGTGTGGCACTCTGCCTTGGCTATAAGAAAATCCAAGGAAACAGAGTGTGTCCTGAGTTTGGAGATTTGTACTAAATGAACCCCAAACACAGTAATATAAGTAAACCCCTTTCTTTAAGACTGACTCAGTGCCGTGTATTTCAAATGTGGACATGGGGTGTGAGGTAGTCCAAAAGGGTTGGTTGGGGGACAACTGTGTTGTTCCTCAGAGAACCTGGGCCTTGCAGAACTCTGTATGGGTCACCCACGAGAAGGAGGAAGAGAGTGGAAGACAGAAAATGGGATGGGTTAACTCCCTGGGCAAGAACACAACCTTAAGCTTGGGTCTCAGTACTGGGGTTTGAACAACAGAAGTGGAATGGAAAGATGATTTCCCTGGGCCATGCCAGGAACTACTCAAAGCGGAGGTTTTCATTCAGGGCAAATGGGTCCGGGCTGTGGGATGACGTTCAGGAAAGCAAGGCGAGAAAGGGAGAGGGAGAGAAGAGCACTCCCAAAGCATGCTCAGGAGGAGGGGGTCTTCATGAGACCAAGACGATCGTGCAGTAGGGATGCAGTGATTGTCTCAGCTTCCAGAAGGCACTTCAGCAAATATGCCTCATTCCGGAGCCAGTGCTTTGTTTACATTTAACTGTTGAGTTATTATCCAGGACCAGCTGGCATCAGAGTTTTTGGGTGGTTGTTGTTTTATTTTGTTTGTTTTGTTTTTGGGGGGTGTAAGAGGGTCAGTTTTTTTGTTTGTTTGTTGCTGCTGCTTCTGTTTTTGCTTTGTGAAAAACAAAGAAGCGGTCTTGGGAGAGACATTTCAGAATGAACGAAGATGAAAGAAAGGAGCCCAGTAGACCCCTTAGGCCCCTCCTTATACCCCTGAGAGAAGGAGGAGTCATTAATGAAACAGTGAGATAGCAAGACCTGCTCTGTACCAGTGAGATCAACTGCCTGCTCAGGAAACAAAGCATTTCTTCCAGGCCAGCGCACTTTCCTAGTGGGCTCTTAAGCCACGGTTTCCATTAAAGAATTCAGCAAATTCATCAATATCAAAGAGAAAGAGCTGCATTTGTGCAACTGGGGAAAAGGGCAGGAAAGAAATGTCTTAGGAAACTTTTTACCACAGTACTATGCACATAGTAGGCACTCAATAAATCTGAGTCAAAGAATCAATTCATTTACACAGGAGTTATTTGACTCCTCAGAGAAGAAAAGTGAACCCTTCACTTATGCATATGCATTTCCTTCAAAACTTCAAGCACTTTTGTATTTGATTTATGTCATTGTCACTTAAAATCAAACCTGAATTGCACAATATTTGATGATATTCCTCTTCCTTCTTTCTTCCTCTCTCCCCTCTTCTAATACTGGGTTTTAGACACTTGCTCTTAGCACTGTTCTTTTTCTCCTCACTGCTCTGCCTGCCACTCTTTACGAGGTAAAAGGCAACAGGGCTGGGAGGTGACCACAGACCCTCCTACTGAACAAGAAAACAAATTAAAAGCAAGTGAAAAGAAAAGAAAAATGTAAAGCAAACCATATGATTCAGTGAGGGGCAAATCATGGCCACAAAGGAAGATATTTTGGGAGATACCTTGCCACCCAATGCATTAAGTGCCCACCCAAAACTCCCTGTCTTTCATATGGGGCCTTTGAGTAGTTTTCGTGTATAATATCAATAAAAAATATATAAAAATTAAGAACCAATACATTTTTGTTTCTGCAATTTCACTATTTTACCCAATGTCCCATTTGATGTATCAAGGAATCTACTGAGCATAATGGCTTATGATGCTTCCGCTAGAATTTATGAACCATCCATTTAATCATTTGAAGTGACCTTGTTGGAAAAATTTCAGTGTTTGGTTGCCAGGAACAAAGTACATTTTCTTCTTAGTTTTTTATTTAATTAAGCTTGATGATAACCAAAAAAGGCAATATAGAGGGGTTTACTAGTATGGCATATGGGAGGACACAGGGTACCCTAAGGAGGGAAGTGCTACCAGCTTGAATTAAACTGTATTTCCAGTCACCTTATTTAATGTTTAGCATGAAAACAGTTTTGTTTTGGTTTTTTTTGTTGGGGTTATACACAAAGGGGATGCCACTCCTGACCAGTGTAGACTCTCATTCTACATATAAGGGGTAGGTGACTTATAGCAAAAGAGCATGATAAAGTGGCTTAAAGAATCCACACTAGTCATCCATAAACACATGAGTTCCAACAATGAAATCAAAATTCAGTTCTTTCTCACAAGAATGTTTTCCTTTTCTTTTATTCAGTTTCATTGATGTATGGGTGACAAATGAAATTGTAATGTATTTGAAGTGTACAGCATGGTGATTTGACCTATGCATACATCGTGAAAGGCTGCCGCCATCCAGTTAATTGACACATCCATCGCCTCACATACTTACCTTTCTTGTTTTTTTTTTTTTTTGGTGAAAATATTTAAGTTCTACCCTCTTAACCTTTTTTAAATGCCTTAAGAATGGCCTTTTGTTTTTAAAAAAATGATCATGTTTGAACTTTCCATAGGAAGTGACATGATTTGCCTCTGTGTTTTTCTGTACTCTAAAGGTCCTCACCAGACAGCTTCCTGTTGCCTGAGAGTCATTACCTGATCAGCTACAAGGATAAAGTTTTCGAGTTGATGGGAGGGATGGCCATCCTCAGCCCTCTGTTCTCACCTGTTGCGGACAAAGTCCAGTGACTGTATTGCGCTCTATTGATTGGTTCATGGTCACCGTACACCCCTGCATATTGAACAATGACCTATACATACACTTGGGCCTCGGTTGCCTGCAACTACGTTCAGTCACATGTCTACCAGTTCACCTACTGTGTTACTGAATGCAGCATCGGGGCTACAGCCGTCCCTCAGGACACGCTGATCTACAGCACTGACATGCACTATGTTTCAAAGGGTACCTCTTCTAAGTACATGATCCCAGTGTCCTGTGCTGCCCGTCAGCAGGCCCCAAGGCTCACTATGTCCTGCTCCGTGAATGCAGCCAGCGAGACAGCAACCACCAACCAGAATGGTGAGACATGCTATGAGGTGTTCACCTTGTCACAGTCCAGCCAAAGGCCCAGCTGTGACTGTCTGCCATGTGTCTTCAATGAAGAATGTACCCAGGCTCCACATTACCAAGCAGAGGCTCAGGAGGACTGTGCTGTGCTGCCATCTTTCTTTGTAGTTATTTCTGAGGATTGGTCTGTTCACTCAGATGATCTGATGGAGTCCATGTGATCCCCCGGTTTGCAGTCTCCTGTAGATGTTCTTTCTAAAATTAGTGTATAATATTTACTAATATCAGACAAATAAGTGCTCTTGAGTCCCTTTTATAAGTGCTTTTGAGAAAGGGCAGCCCATGGTAATGTCATGAATAAAGCTTTTTTTAAATATCATTTTTAAAGAAAAAAATTGTTTGATGGCATAAAAGTATCAGGTGGTCATTTTTATTTAGTGAGAACATATACAGCTTCACTAGGGCCCACGGTTCTAAGTGCTTCACAAACATCAGTGCCTGGTCTCTTCAGTCTATGGCTTATCTCTCTGTTAAGGTCCCCCCACTGAATCCCTCCTTCTTGGTCCCCGTTTCACTTACTCTCCATATCAGTCAACTGAGCACTGAGCCACACACCTCCTCAGTTTGACCTATGGCAGTATCACTTTTCATTCATGGATGGTATAGATTGCACTACTGATTTATAAACCACCAATGTTCCTAAGAATCAGTCATGTCACATCTTACCAATGAGATGATAAGCTCCTGAGGACAAGGGTTGGATCTCACACTTTAGTCACAGGCTGATAAGACTTCAAAAGGAGTTTTGTTCCCCAACTTATGCGATCAGAACATCTCCACCTGAGTTTGGCTATCCATTAGCTTTCTCAAAGACTTAGAAGGGAAAGGGTAAGTAAATTCATGCAACAAAGATTCACTTAGTGTTACTACATTCCAGGCACCAATCTAGGCACTGAGGATAGGGTAGTGAATAGAAACTGAGGCTCAGAGAAATTAAAGTCACACAGCTAGTAAACAAATAAACAAGTAAGCAAAGAGAAATTCAGATAGTGATAAATGCCACGAAGAACTTAAAATAAGCTGATGATAGGAGAGAAATTGGAGAAGGGGATCAGAGCAGTCAAGGAAGCCCTCTGAGGACTCAAAATTTCAACTGACTCTAATATGAAGAAGGAGCCAGCCCTGAGATAACTCGAGAGACAACATTCCAGTTGGTAGAAACATAGCATTTAATCCTCACTACAACCCTGAGAGAAGTGTTATTATTATATCCATTTTACAAATAAGGAAACTGACACACAGAATGATTAAGAAACTGGCCAAGTCCACAGACTTATAAAGAAGCAGACAATGTTGGCACATATACGTGATAAGATACACAAAGTGTTTCAGGAGGTGAGTAGACATTAAAAATTCAGTCACTGTCTTAGTCTGTTTGAGCTGCTCTAACAATGTACCATAGATTGGGTGCGTGGCTTATAAGCAACCAGAAAATTTTCTCATGGTTCTGGGGCCTAGGAATGTGAAATCAGGATGCCCATGTGGTCAGGTTCTGGGGAGGGCCCTCTTCTGGATTGCACATTGCTGTCTTCTGGTTGTGTCCTCACACGGCAGAAAGAGGGTGAGACAGCTCTCTGGGGTTTTATAAGGGCACTAATCCCATTCCTGAGGGCTCCACCCTCAGGACCAAATGACCTCCCAAGGGCCCCACCTCCTAAGACCCTTGCATTGGGGGTTAACATTTCAACATATGAATTTGTGTGTGTGTTGGGTGGGGGTGGACACAAACATTCAGCCCATTGCAAATCATGCTTGTTGGAGAAACACAGGTGTTCATTTAAAAATCTGCCCGTTCTTGAGGAAAACCCAATAATAATCCCTGAAAACAGTGTATTCATTCAAAATACATTTATTGAGCTTGTCCTACATTGTGGGCAATATGTTAGATGTTGAGCATGTGATGGTGAATAAGACGAATAGAGTCTAATCAGGAGGACCGAAGTCAAGAAGCCTAGGGAGCTAGAGGCTATTCCAGCCCAGAGGATGGGCCTCTGCAAAGACGTGAGAACGTGAGCTGTGGCCAGCAGAGATAGCACAAGTAATTTTGTCCACACAATGGAGGGGAGCAGTTGATGTACAAGAGAACCAGCACTTCTCTTCCCATCCTTTCTTTAAAAGCTTACAGATTATTAAACACTAAAACACACACAAATAACTTAGCAGGCAATCAATACTAGACACATTAGACCTGGACTATACCATGTGCAAGTTGTGTTCTTCACAAGTGCAAGGGGCAATTTTCACAGAGACACCCTGTGGGGTTGTGTAATGTATCAGCCTTGGAGGAGACTCAAGATGTACATGGTAATAGTTGTTGCCAAGTGCCACACCCATACACATGATCTCATTTAATGCTCACAACAGCTCTGCAAGATAAGAATTATTTTCTCTGTTTGCTATATGGGGAAACTGAGGCTCAGAGAAATTGAGGCTGTACAGTTAGTAACATCACTGGGGTTTAGCTCCAGTCCACTTTCCCCCTATACTCAATATTCCCTCCCAGAGAAGAGAAACTTCTGCCTGGGTTGAAGATCCAGGACGGTTTCCAGTGAGGTGGGCAATGACCCCACTGTTAGAAGGTGAGGACAATTTGGCTAAGCAGAGAAGAGGAAGGAGAGCATTCTTTCTGAGCATAACCACTAAGACAGGGTGGAGAAGTGCACCTTGTTGTAGGGAGGATAGGGGACTATTGCTCTAACCTAGGTGGGAGGAGATGAGAACAGTTGGGGAAAGGAGTTGAAGTGTAGGACGAGATGAAAAAGAACCATTTCAAGTGAAGAACAGGACTTCATACACTTTAGCCTACAAAGCAGAAGTAAGGGGTAATTACAGAGCTAAAGCCTCCAGGAGATCAAATGAATATAGGCAATTAGGACCACAGATTCAGATTCTCTAACACTCAATCTTCAAGGCACAGTTAGAAAAAGAAGAAGAGACATCAAAGGAGACAGAAGAGAAGTAATCAGAGGGTGGAAGGAGAAGTATGACTCATGGAATTCTAGGGAGGACACCTGGGTGGGCTATATTGTCCAGTGTAACAGATAAACCAAAATGGAGGAAACCTAGGCATCATGGAATTAGGAGCCTTTGAACTAGATCTTAAATGAGAGGTAGAATTTTATCAGGTGAAGGTGGAGGGAAAACACATTGTAGGCAAAGGACACAGCAAAAACAAACACACGAAGCAACAGTCAAGAATCATAAATAAGAGTCAGTATAATCAGGTATGAGTTTTCACATTCAGGAGTAATGTGCACTTTTTGACTTGGACCTGTCATTACTCAATGAAAAATGTACTTCAACCATTTCAGGTGCAAGTTTAATCTCCACTTGACTGTCTGTGTCCTGAACACGGGAGACCCTCTCCTATTTGTTCCTGTGTTTGCCTTTCACTGTCTGGCTGATTGGTACTGAGAAAGGGCCTTGGAGTTCATAAGCACATGAATCTTTCAAAAGACAATAAAAATGCCTTGAGAAAAACTGCATTTTGAACTGACTTATTCATTTCCTTTTGGAATGCCACTCTAAAAGAACACTTACCTCCTTTATTATGGTATTATTCATTCCATTCTTAGGGTGATGTGATTTATAAAAAATCTACCACACAACGTTAATCACATTTCTGATAATAATCAGAAATACTTTCTTGCCATCAAAAGAAAAGAACATTTTCACCTTTCAGTCTCTGGGAAGGCCAAAAATGTCTGAAACTATTTGTTATAATTGTTTCTCAAATATTTAAAAGCTAGAGCCATGAGATTTTCCACCCATACAAGGAGACTCAAAGTAACATTAAAATGTTTATTCTTATAACTTGAAAACAGCAAACTGGATCTTTTTTGGGGGGGGTAGTTTAAATTTTATTTTATCAAATGTACATGGCAGTGGTTCAACAGTCCCCCTCCCACTGCCCCCTGCCCCGCCCACTCCATGTCCCCTTGGTAACCACTAGTTGCTTTTCAGTGCCTATGAGTCTGATGCTGGCAAACTGGATCTTTTAAAAAACTGTGTAAAGTATACGGAAATGTTCAAGGGCCAAAAGTCTTGTATGCATAATTTTCACCAATAGCCCATTTAGGAGATGCCTGTAAGTAGCCCCATTCCTCCATTCCTCCAACAATAATGAAAACTTGGTCAAGCATTAAAGTAAACACAGTGCTTTTCACACACACACACACACACACACACACACACACACCATCTTTATAAGAAATACATTAGCAAGGGACAAGTGTTTATTATAAAGAGAAGGTTAACTTTCACAGAAACTTCCTTTAATTCTTTTTTCTGTAATTCTAATTGGTGTTAATCCCTATGGTTGGTCTCTATGATAGAAAGTTTAAATTGCAATTATAGTTTGTTGTTCCCCCAAAAGAGAAAGAGAAACAGAGGCAGGGGAGGAAAGGAGAGAAAGAGGCTGGCTTTCAGTCTTGTGATTCTCAACAACTTCTTCCGAAGACAAATGATTTGGTCATATTTCAGCTTATAAACTTTCTTTGGTGAGACAACCATGTGCTACCTCACAGGACGTGCCACCCAGCTGTGAGCTCACCTGCGGGCATCTCAAGGCTCAACTGGAGCTGGAGAATCTACCTCCAAACTCACTCCAGGGGCTGTTGGCAGGAGGCCTCAGTTCCTCTCTGTGGGCCTCTCCATAGGCTGTTGAGTGTCCTCCGGATATGGAAGGTGGTGATGATGATGGTGGAGAGACGGATGGGGGAAAGAAAGGGAAAGGAGAGAGAGGGGAAGGGCAGAAGGGTGGGGAGGGGAGAGGAGGGAAGGGAAGAGAAGAGAAAGGAAGGAAATGGAGAGCCCAAGTTAGAAGCACAAGGTTTTTGTAACCCACTGTCAGAAGTGACATCTCATCACTGTCCCCCAGTCTGTTTGTGGGAAGCTAACCTCTAGGTCTGGCCCACACACAAGGGGAGGAGAGGACACAGGGGTGGAGTAGCAGGAGGCAGGGATCACTGCAGACCATCATGGAGGCTGCCTACCACACTTTTGATCTGATCATTCTGGCAAACCCCACAAACACACCCTTCTTCAGTTCATTTGTGTAAGTACAAGCAACGGCAGGACACAGACTGGGGGTGTGGAAATACATATGTCACTGCTATACCCTTGGCTCACTTAGTTCTATTTTTCCTTCTCCAGGGAAAAC